ATAATTTCTGTTTTATTTATTTTATTTTTTTTTTGGTGGAACTGGGGATTGAACTCTGATCCTTGCATTTGCCAGTCAAGCGCTTATCCTACTGAGCCATCTCCCCGGCCCCGATAATTTCTGTTTTAATATCTTAGTCACCTGGTGGCATGAAAAAAAAAGTATATGAGTTCTAACTACTGTTCTAAACTTGGTTTTCAGAACAGTGTGGAAGGTACACAAAATGTCACGTGGAATAACTTGTAATGTAGACTCTTTTCTACTTATCTACTGCACTTGCTATTGATTCTTAGCTGGGACACCTGGCTTCCACTTGGCTCTCTAACAAGAACTTAAGAACTGCTACCTTGAACTACAAGACTGCCATGCAACCTGACTTAAGTCTTTTCATCTTTGCAAAAAATGTTGTGAAAAGAATCATTGGCTTAAAATCTGGAAGGGTTTCAGAAAACACCTGAAGTTCCAGTATTTTAACTTACACACAGTCATTCCTCCTCAAGCCACTCCTCCTCCACTGAATAAAACCTGGGTGCAGCCCTGGGTCAGCCTCTTTGTTCCAGAAAGCCATCTTCATGGCTGGACTTAGGGCCCTTTGGCTCCCCAATAATTATAAATATGTTTTAATTTCTTTTTGTTTTCTTTCTTTTTTTTTTATTTTTGGCAGAACCTGGAATTGAACTCAGCCCTTGCACTTGCCAGGGAAGCACTTAGTCTACTGAGTCATCTCCCCAGCCTCGGTATTTCTGTTTTAAGCAGAAAGTGTTGCATACATTTTATTACTTATACAGTAAAAGAGAATTCCTTTTATGAGACTATTTGTCCTATTATTATTTTTACTATTGCAGGATTTGATAGAAAAGTCTAATTTATGCTATTTGGAGTTTTTAAGATTATAGAGATTTTCTCCATCTGTATAAGGAGAGGTTGAGAAGCAAAATAGCTCATTTATGAAAGCATGAACAAGAAGAGACAGTGCAGCATAGTGCGCACAGATGTCATGGCATCTGCTGTACAGGTTGCACATGGAGAACACTGATGTTTGCGTCCGAAAGTGCTCCAAAGTCGTGGGCACAGATCTTGGGCCACTGACTGCTTTTTTCTGTCATTTAACTGATCAAAAATTTACGACAATCTATAGCATAATTAGTTAGGGAAAGTCCCACAGACTTTTCAATAGCTTCTTCCAGACAGAAGATTGCTTAGAACAGGCTATTTTTTAAAAGTGTTTAGGCCAGGATCAATGTCTTTTCTTTCTTCTTTTTTGGAGGTCTATGTCTGTGGAGGACAACCTGAGCAGTTCTACTTGAAAGAAGAGTGACTGTCTCCATTTGGCTGGGCCTGACCCTGTTTCCTGGTATTGCTATGTATAGAGCTGGCTAGGACTTCACTTTATCCTTTCAATTGGCCCTAAGCAATGTATACTGGTCTAATTGAGGTGCTGGTGATAGTCATTGAATGTGGCATGCATGTTTCCCTAATAACCTACACTTCTTTGTTGTGAGCCAGATTGAGACAGGATGAAGAGCCAATGCTCCACACTGTGGCTAGGATCGAGCCCCGATATAGAGGCTACAATTTCCTGAGGCTTAAAAGATTACATCAGAGCCAAAGTACCAGGCCCCTGAAACATGAGATACTATCTCAATAGCATAATGCAGATTACTTTCTCTGCATACTCTCTCTGCATATGGCAGAGGTAAATGTAGGCCACCTACCTAGCTCAGCTCACAGTACTCACCTACTTCCCATAATTTTCATTCATTCCTCCTCAAGCCACTCCTTCTCCACTGAATAAAACCTAGGTGCAGGCCTGGGTCAGCCTCTTTGTTCCAGAAAGCCATCTTCATGGCTGGACTTAGGGCCCTTTGGCTCCCCAATAATTACAAATATGTTTTAGTTTCTTTACTTTCACCGTGGGCTATACTGGGAATGGTAGATTGGAATTATCTTGATGGGATTCCAATAACATATCTTTAGGATTATGAATATTGACTTCTTGGATTGAAACGAGAACCTGGAGGGGACTCCTACATATGTCTGCAGTGCATGGTAAATACATTCAATGTGGGGAGTCTGGACACGTGCATAACGCAATTAGTTTTTCATCTCATTCCCCCAACCTCTGCTCCTTCCAACTCCCACTCTCCTTCCCATTTATAAAAGCTCTAGTTTCACATGTTTATTCAATTCTCTTTTTTCTCCATCTCTTTTCCCTTTCTTCCCTCTCCCCTCCAGGAGGAATGTCTGGTAGGCTAATTATTTTATATAAAAAGTATTAGATCTAGCAAGTAGATTTCACTTAGGTAAATGGCGTGGCATCCTCTAAGAGGTAAGCCTTCACACTGTCTAACTGGAAATTACAGTGACTGGCCCCTTATCTGAGTTAATAAAACCACTCTGGGTTAAATTACTATAATGTGCATGTGCATGTTTTCTTCTGCATCTGAACTCAGGAGGATCCATTTACTTACTTACATAGGAAGTACTCTAATTGGAATAACAAAAAGTTTGTCATGATGCTGAGTGCAATTGTTCTGTTCAATCTTTTATCTGTAATAGGCTAAGATTGCTAACAGCATATTTAGGGTCATTATTTTCAACTGTTTCTTGACACCTTACAATATTATTTTAAGCTCAGCCAAGTGGATTTCCAATAATTATATAATGTCTCTCAGTAATGATTTGTTGCTTAAGATACATATTCTACTTTACTTTTCAACACATACTTGATAACCTCTCATTTACTAACTGTAATTGAAGCAAATTCAGTCTTGGCTAATTAGGGGCTCTTAGTATCCCCTCATACATATTATTCTTGGTGACATATCAATAGAATGAGGGTCTATTTTTATTTTTAATTAAACTAACAAAAATGGGCAACTTAAAGTATTAGAATGTTTAAGGACATTACAATTATTTTACAAATAACAAGTCTAGTGTTCTGCTGTGGCTACGCAAAATAACAAAACCTTTAGGACTAAAACACAACGGTTTGGAAGCAAACCTACAGCCATTCCAGACAATTATGTATCACAAGTGATGCATAAATAGTGAGGACATGACACTAGAGCATTATTTGAATGTTGGCCTCCTTGGAAGCAATTTAGTCAACTCCATCGCCACCGCATGCATGTTCTTACAAAAAGTTTATGAGGGGCTGATGAGATGGCTCAATGGTCTAAAGCACCTACTTAGAACAAGCTTAGCAAAGCACAGGGACCAGGGCTTGATCCCCCAGCACCACATGCCAGCCAGCCCCGCCCCCTGGTGGGCTGAGCTGCCCCCCCCACATAAATAAATAAATGAATTTAAAAAAAGTTTATGAAAGAAGAGGAGCTTAAGTGAGGAATATCTTTGAGGTGAAAAAAACTCTACACTTGTTATGAATTGACAAGAGAATGGTTAAATGGTTAAAGTTTGCAGGGCCAGGAGTCCTCCAGACAAAGAATGAAGACCTTAAGAAAACATCCTGCCTCCTACCCTTGCCCCCAAAAAGTCTACCTACAGGGGTCTATTTCCAGGATTGCTCTAGTTTATTTTCACCAGAGAATATATGCTTTAGCTACACTGGAAGGAAACGTAATAGACATACATCAACTCAACTCCCGTTTCTGTTCAACATTTTTGAAAATCACCACATAAGCAAAAAAGTAAAAGTGAACTTGGAAATGAAACATATGCTTACAGAGCAATAGCAAATGCAAGCAGAAGTTGCTAATATGGTTTCAGTATTTTGTAAAAGAGCCAGCTGGATGGATGATAATTTTTCTACCCCTGCAGGGCATCAAAGCTTTTAGGAAATCATTCTTTTCACACATATTAACACTTAGCTTATTAAAACAGATGATACTTTTATTGTAAGATGGCCTGGATAGGGACTGGAAACAGAAAGTCAGAAAGCTACGATTGGTTTTGACCACCCAACCTGACAACAGCAAACAGTGACAGGACAGACCATGGTGGAGCCGATGACGTAGCAGGACCCGCCGTCACTGCCACAGCTGAAGTGTCACCAGAAAGCCCGTGAATTGCTGTTATGAAAACATTTGCAGTAACTTGCATAATTAAATGAAACCGCCAGAAAAGCATTTTTAAGATGCAGAGAAGATA